TTTAACCCAAAACTAATCAAATCTGCACACTAGTTCAGAGCATCCATGTGCCAAGTTTCATCAAAATCCAATGAGTGGTTCTTCAGATATCAGTGGAACAGTCTTGGAAGAGCTAAAAATCAGCTAATTATCATGCAAATTAGGTAATTAATATTCATAGATTTTTACCAAAACCTAATCAACTCTGCGCATTATCCCAGAGCATCTATGTACCAAGTTTCACAAAAATTTGATTAGTGGTTCTTGAGATAACGGTGGAACAAAAAAAGTGACATACATACATACAGACATACATACATACAGACATACAGACATACAGACAGGGTAACTGCAAAGACTCCTATTTGTGCTTCGCACACGGGAGTCAAAAACCATATTGTAAAAGAGTTAAAGAAGTCTGATAATCTATGTTGATGGTAGAAAACTATGTTTATAATCGATATAAGATGCAACAAAAAGGTAATAATACATACATCTGTTTCACAGCTTCAAACATAAGTTTGTTCGGTTTACCAAGAATAGTTGGTTTTCGTTTAGCAGCAGCTTGTATGGGTAGAACAAAACAACCAGCCGCTAAAAAAAGAAATGAAAAACTTGTGGGATACAATTACAATTATTACCAGAGTAGAATGTGTCCTTAATTCCACAACAAAATGTAGCCTCTCGGGGCATTGTTTTTGGTTGAACAGTGTTACAACAATCGTACAGACAACTAGCCTGGGTGTTAATTTATGCATGAACTTGAAGTAGTGAAATTTGGGCTACTGGCCTGCAAAATTGACAAAGTAAAAGTAAACAGATGTACCCATGAGCCAATTTTGACAGGAAACAGAAGCATGGTTTAGGAGCCAATTTTTTTTAAATCACTTTTGACCAAAAAAGCACATTTTGTGCACATTTCAAACTACAGTGTTCATAAAAAAAAAATAATAAAAAAATTTTAAAATTCATACAATAAGTATTCTGAAAATATATAGTTTTGTGGACAAGGAAGGTCATCTTGGTTTCCTAATTAACTAATTAAAATACCTGTCAGGTAAACTGTATCTCGACCTTAAATGAACAAAGAGAGGTCTACCCAAAGTATACACCAAGTATCAAAGCAATCAGACTCGAAGTTTTCAAGAAGAAGGAGAAAAGTACAAAGTTGTACAAATATGATAAGCTCCACTCAAAAAAGTCGACAGTGGAGCAAAAAAAGGCTGATAAGGTATCTACGGTAACATCTTATTCACACCTTATGGATGATCCCATACAGCAGGGATTCACTGAGTTTTAAAAGTACACTAATAAGTTCAAATTTTTCATGATTTTGGCAAAGTCAAGGTAAATTTGTGAAATTTCCCACTTGTGCAACTTGGGTTTTTTAGATAGAAAATCATAGTGAATTTTGTAAACTGCAAAAAGTTATCAAACCTTGGCCATTTCAGAAAGCGAATAATTTGGTAAATGATTATTGAAATGTTATATAATCTACCTATTCAACACTACTACAGCAAACCACGATTTTTTTTTCTTTTAAATTGTTTTTGTGCCCGGCAACAGTTATGGACATTGAATGTCACTGTTGTCTCTCCTGACTTTTTTTTTGTATGTGCAAGTTGCTAGTGCTGCTAGTGCATTATATAGTGCAGCAAGCCTTGATGAAACAAATCATATCACAGTTTTCCACATCAACACAGTGCAACACTTTTTTTGTAACTATGTTAGTATCACGTTGTTCTAACCTGGAACTATCCTGTCATTATTGAATAATGGAAATTCAAAGTCAAGACCATTGGTCAGAAAATAACAGTTTGGATTACGTAAGTAGTTAGCAGCTTTCATTATCTTCATATAGTTGAAATGTGCATCAAAACCAACCAGTACAGCTTTCACCTACATAAAGAGAAGGTGATAACAAGATTATGTAATTCTGAGTTACCCTTTCCCCCTCTCTATTTTTTCTACAAAATTGTGTGTAACACATTTTTTTATTTACTGATTTTTATCAGCAATTGCTGTATTTATGTCAGCCACTCAAATAAAATACATTTTTAGGTACAATTGTCATTACTACCATTGAGGACATCTTGAACAATAAATAGTCTTCAATTTTTCAATTTCTCAATATCAAGAAACAATTGGAAGGGGGGGGGGGGTGATTATACTTACATCTGTTCTATATTCAATGTTGGTCCATTCTGTCAAATTTCCCTCAACAGGGTCTTCCTGTAATATATGACAAAGGCGACGTATTTGATGATTTTAATAAAGGATTTCCTGAGAGTGTGACTTGTGGCGATCTCGAGCAACTCCTTTTGAGTTTGCCCAAATGAACATGCAAAACAGAGCCCCTATAGAAAACTGGACAGTTCGTCATGTGACTGCTAACTACAAATTGGATTCTATCGACATATCATTCACACTTTTATGTCATCGTACAGAGTTCAGTGCACGGCAGTCAAGTAGTGAAATTTGGAGCTGTTTAATATTATTAAGGTATTTTTTTTGTAAGAATCTTTCTTTGCATAACATGTACAACCAGAACATGCAATTCTAAATTAAACTGGCATTAAATACTGTAGAATGACTAATTTTCACTGTTTAAATTTCGCTGATTTACCATTTCAGGCATATTCAGTGGGTTTTAAATTCAAGGTTTTATCATTTAAATAATGTGTTCTATGCTAAATTTTACATATTCACAGGGTTTTAATTTAGCATATTTTCCAGTCAGCAAAATAAGCGAAATTAAAACTCAGTGAATAATTACTCCTTTTACAGTACATGAAAATTTAAAATTGTTTTGAATGACGAAGGCAGTTATGCGGTTATGTGACACGAAAGTTGTTGTGCACTTGCATTACGGTGACTCAGTTAAGAAAATACTGGGCATGCGAACAAAAACAAAACACCGAACTTGTCGTGAAATTTGTCAAGCTGGTATTAAGAATCAAAATAATCCATGATGTGAAACAACTGACAACAGACCTTACACGGTGTTATGTAAGTACCAGGGTCATGCAAATTACCAAATTAGTTATACTCACTCCTGATCCAAAATGCTTAATACCATGGCGATCTAGTTCCTCAATGAAACCGGAAGAACCGACTAGGTACACATTCTCATCAATATTCAGGGTATCTTTTATGTACTGACAACATACTGATGTTGCACAAATGATTTCATTCTAAATTTAATGATAGAAACAAAGTAGATAATTATTTGATAAATAAGTCGCAATGTGATTGTACAAAAAGCACTGACACTTTACGGTTTGCATTATAACAAATTATTAGTACATTAAATGATAATTATAATGATTTGGTTCGCTTCTTGATCAGAGAAATGCATATAGACTAACAAAAATAAACACAATGATTTCCAGTTAGTCATTTGGAAACAAATTTGAAACACTAAGTTTCAACAAAATCGATTAAAGGAAGTCAAAGGAATTATATCAGATGCACATATAAAATGTGTAACAATTTCCAAGTCTTTATTACTGACTATGTTCAAAGAGCGACTAAAAATATAAAATGTTATTGTTTTTATTTTGCCAATGTGCAGTTGTGAGAATTTTTACTGTTATTGCAAACGAAGTGAGCAGTTTCCTTACCAGTTCTGCTTCAAATCCTAATCTGTGTAGTTTTTGCTGGTACTGTGATCTTGATTTAGTACTGTTGTTGGAGAAATATATCACTCTTTTCCCCTAGCAAAATAATAAATACATCTTTGCTCTTTGGAATACACAATGTGAAATCAATCTGATCCAGAGATTAGAAGTTGATAATACTAATAGAAAACTAACTTGAAATAATATAACAAATAATAAATTTTATTGTATATCTCATTTTTCAAATCTACTTATCCTTCATGGTTTACCTACCAACATCCTAAGTTTCACAAGTGTATCGCGTGACCCCTCAATGATATTGTCTTCCCCACACCACAGAACACCTACATGAACATAAATTGTTCTGTTAAGATAAAATGCTACTCATGTGTTTTCAACATTTGTACATATGACAATGACGATATTTTGTGTTATAATTTTAACTCGCTGTCAATCTGTTTTTTGGGAAAAACTGTGAAATAATATGCCACAAAACCCATTAAAAATACCGGTAATGTAATTTTCTTGATACTTCTAGAATTGAACAAGTACATTGTTAGACACTGTACCGAGATATATTATATTTTCACCCCATGTCATCGAAAAAAAATTTGAGATCGTGATATATATCTCTGCTGTAGGAAACAATAGTAAAATGTACTAAAACAGACAAAATATGCTATTTTTATTCCACATTGTACATCGATTTTCTGTAAACAAAGTATGGTGACCCAGAGGCGGATACAGAATTATTTTATTTTGATGGAGGGTTCAAACTTCAAAATTGCCTGACTAATCATCGGACCCCAAGTATTCCCCTCTAGATCCGCCACTGTGACCACTAATTTTCATTTAGTTTTCTCCATCCATGTGACATGAAATTAAATGTAACATATGAAAAGATAACAAGATTACATTATTTTTACTATTGAGTACCTTTACCTTAAAGACTTAACTATTCGCTGGGTATTATTTTCACTTAGTCATAGGTAAATGAGTTAAAATTTAAATTTATTGAATATTTTATAAACCAACAAATTTAAAAAAAAAAATAGTGAATATCATTGTGTACCACCCTGCACTCCTGTAAAATTTATCCCAGTGAATATTTCTGTTTCTGCAGTAAAACATCGTGCAGCTCATGTATATATTTTACATGGGTCATACATGGCATGGAAGTTTGCATGGAACGTGTAACACCAAGATATACTAGTATATATGCCAGTCTCATTATTTTGCGTGTGGAACGCTGTTTTCGCATTAGCTGCAAACAAGTACTGCTGCTCGCTACAAACTTTACAAATGAAAAATACATTATAGCAAAGTAAGGCTAAAAAAAAAATTATACCACGTACGCTCCATAATACCCCCCCCCCCGCGCGCTACATGTTATGTCCCTGAACCACAACATATTGTGTAACCCTGGGAAAGATGGATATTATGGTCTCATTCAAATTACCCTACTCAGTTTAGAACCAAGATATATATGCTCATAGCACCGTTTCCAACATTTACCCACCGTCACAGTCTACTAAGACAGTGTTAAATGACGATAGAAATTCTTCGATACATTCAGAATTCAGTTCAGCACAAGCCGCCATGATGGAAAGCGCCATCATTCGTAGCATAAATTAATTACTTTGTTTTTTCCAACATAGGCGATGATAGGTCAATAAAAAACACCTTCTTTCCTTGAATATCCACTCTCACTTGATGTGTATATGTAGGACATACGTTATGTGAAAAACTAATTGATGAAAAATCGATACTTATTGGATAAATAGGCTGTTCTTCCCGGATATAAAGATTGTGAAATAAAGCACAAATTAATTTGAAATGTGAAATTTGATTTACCCATATTGCTGTAATTTTAATGAATAATTCTGTAAATTTACTAATTTACTAAATAAATTCGTGCTGCACCTGACCAGAATCTGCAGACCGTTATCTCCTTCCGGCAAATAAAATAATATGTTTATAAATGTAAATAGGAGCGGAGGTATTTGGGAGTGATCTTTAAGACTGTGTCGCATACGACTTATTTACCACTTCCGTGTCACTGAGAATGTTCTAGAACCATACTGTGTCTGGGTGGAATATTCTAGATTTTTTTTAGAAACTGGTTGAATAGGTGATAGAACACTGTGGGAGGCAATAGAAGGTAATGGAACATTCTAGAAATTTGTAGTAAGTGCCAGACTCATTATGTATGCTGATGTAATGGTCTATTTATAGACAGTGGAGGTATATATAGGGGAGTTGTTCAGCACTGAGTTCAGATCGGAGATCTCGTTGAATTGTGTTGGAGTTTAAGTATCTAGTTATTGGAGGTTTGGAGTTTTACCGCGTTATTGTACTTGATGTTTGCAGAGTATAATAATACCAGTACCAGTTGAAACCTCATCTGTTGGCTCCGTGTTCGTATTTTATCATCGCCGCCAGGGAAGTCTTTATGTTACTGTTGTCATTTTGGTATTTGAACCATCACACCTGTACTATACCAATTACGGTAATATTACGTTGCGTGTGACAGACTGATAAAGCAGATAACTTACTGACAGGGTCGGTAATTTGAAAGTTACCCACTCTAGTGTCTGGTGCACAATTTTAAAACACTGACACCATATAACATTACATCAAATTACGCAAATTATATCACACATCGGGCATGATATTGTATCAAATGATATCACACCATATCACATGGCCATCACATTATATCACTCGAATCATATCATATCATGTCATTTCAGAGCGCTGATTATCACGCTGCTTACCACAGATATTTCTTAAAAAACACATCAAAACGAATCACATTAATCAAATCTGCACACACAAGATGATTTGAATAGAAACAGCGTTATTAAACTTCAATCCACAACTGAATTTACCACATGTATTCTCATCTGTGTAGTGTAGCAAGATCACGAGCACCCGCTAGAAAGCTAATTGCCATCATGTGAGGGCGCTCTTCTCTGCGTTGTTGGCGGATGTGTAAGAATGTAGAAGCATATTTTATTCAGGTGGGAATATGATCTGCTAAAAAAACAGGATAAACTGTACGTTTTCGTGCTACATGAATAACGTTGTACGTTTTCGTCGCTCTGAATATAGAGATAATTAACGTATTGATGTTCCTGGACGGTAAAAAAGCTAAAAGTGTGAGTAAAAATCGAAAAAATATGTGTTCTGATAAACTCATATAATTGGGTTTTTTTTCCACACAAAAAGTAATTTTATCCCCATCAAATCACACCACACCACAATTATTCACAATCGTGATTTTGTGTTTTTAGATTGACGAATGCTAGTATATGTACACACGCATACATTCATCCTATAGCTAATGCTGTGTAGAAGTTAACACCATCTAAAAGCCCATTGAACAATCGCGATTCTATCATGCAGAACACTGTCATTCATTAAACCAGCTGTCTCGTGACGTCACAGTTGAAGCACATTGTGAAATTGGCAACAGGTGTCAGAAGATGTACAATATTGATTAACATTCCAAATTTGTGTCATTGATAAAATAAAATATTACCCATTTAATGTGTATACTTCGAGAACGGCCGAGGTGATAAGCGACTCGTGCTGCGTTTAACAAGGTCGCGATTTAAATCAAGTACACGAAAATTAATTCTATTGTTATCAGGCATTTATTTAATAAACCCATAGCCAAGCGGAAAATGCGGACAATGTAGAAGTAGAGGAGCAAGCCTCACAAAAGCACAGCCGTGGTTGGGTCTTACATATCAGTTGTACATTTTTTGTTCGCTTCTTGGCCGGAAACACTTACAATACTAACAAATACAGTCATAATAAAAATCAAACACTAAAATATTAATTTTACCATCGTGACGTCATCGTTCAACTTTGACCTCTATGGTGTCTGCTGTAGATCGTCATGACGCCGAGGTTTGAAGTCGTTGTGACAACACGACGGACACAATCCAGCTAACCCTTTCGAATGACATGGTGAAGAGTGATACGTAAAACATGGTGGAAATTAAAACTGCCAACATATATCTGACGATGTATTGACATCGTTTTTAAATGACAATACGTAAGTTTTTTTTTACAATATTTGAGTAGATTTAGATTACGCAATACTTGTCGTCCAATCACGGGTATCGTCTAAAAGACCATCACGGCAACTAGTAGTATGTGATCCAACCCGTGATTCACAAAACCACGTGGCTCTTTTAATGACCTTTCAGAAACTTATACGGCAGCCAACACGCTGCATGTTCGTTCGATGTATGGCTTTATAAAATAATTTGGTGGAGATCAATTTTTTTCCTATGGAATTTGTAAATAATACTAGATATTGTATATGTACACGTGGCTACATAGGAGTATAACACATATCACGAATTTGTACTCTGGCTACTGACTACATGGAAAATTTGTGAAACCCTTGACTGCGGGAGCACTGTACGTAATCTTGGAAGTAAATAATCAAAACATGTACGGAAATTGTATAATAGCATGTATTTCAAAATGTAATTTAAACGACGTCGAACAGTTTTAAATTATATCGATAAAAAAAGCTACACTTGGGGGGGGGGTTTAGAAATAGCGAGATTACAGTGAACGAATTCAGCCGTGTTACGATGACAAGGGGTGCTATGGTTACCGGGTCTAATGACGCGTATGGGGATTAATGACGCGTATGGAGAAGGCTACCCTCACTAATCACCTTTGCAAAGTAAAACGGAACTGCTTTGATGGTGTACTAAAAAGCAACAAAAATTTTCTTTGAGTATGTGCTTTACAACTGTTGTATTATTCAAGTTCAAACTCATAGACACACTATCCCTTCCCCCTCCAATTTAATTAAGTTAAGTGTAATTGTTTCTTAATCAGTTCCATTCGCCGTTTAACAAAATCGTAGAACTCGTATTCATAGGCCATGCGTTGTTTCATGATGGTAGTGGCCACTTCGGCTGGTTCTTTTCTGGACACGGACTTGAATGATTGGACATCACCCTTGGTGACAATGGTCGAGTAGGCTTCGCTGGCTCCACCAAAGAACTGCGGCATAATGATCTCCAAAATACGCAGAGTGTTTTCAAAATCTTCCAGTATACCTACGAAGACGTAGTCCTTGACAACGTGGCGGATTGCCGTCTCCAACGCCCACCTGGATGGCACTCGGCACATGTCGTCTTGTCCACAGAAGTACGGTATGATTCGAAACGTGTTGTTGGTACTACACTCTTCTTTATCAAACAGGACACACTCATCGAACGTTTGGTTGAGATCTTTCATGGTGGCACCGGCTTCTCGCTGATAGGTAGCATCGCCGAACCGTGTATAATAATAGAAGGAAATAGTTCTATCTAAAGGATCACGGATTAAATTGATCCCGTAAGGCTGTTCGGAACCAAATCTTGAAAAGTCGACGTAATCGATATGGCGATTGTAGATGTACGGTGGGTCGAGTACGTCCACCTCAGCCACAAATTCGGCTTGTTCCTGTTCGTTCAACCGCTTCTGTGTGAACACTTGGCTTTTCATATTAGGAAAATTATTCTTCCTGGCTAAAATATCGATGGTATGGACCATACTGCGACTACCGCATTTTCCAACTCTGTTGAAAATCAGTTTGCTGATATTTCTCGTGTAGTTCAAGTCCAATGGCAGCCCGGTTTCCGGTTTAAAGTCCATGCTATCCCCGGTGTTGTCATCAGCTACGAATTTCTCGAGGCGCCTGTCAAGAACTCCATTGTCGACAAATCTCGAGTTTGCAGTCAAATTAGAAGTATATAAATAAAACCCGAACGCTGATATCGTGGCTACTGTTAATAGAAATCTACTCGGTGAAAGAAATATTCGTCTTAGCCTCGGCATTTTGGAATTGTGGTGGTAATTATATCTGTCACTGTCTATATCGTACACCATTATATGTCATCAAAGCTTATGATGAGAACCGCTCTCAGTCCCTGGAACAGACACAAATAAATAATTTCAGTATAACCATTTTTGTTGTTACTACTTGATGCCTCAAAGGTGGAATCCGTTAGTTTTTATTACTTATTTTTTTTAGGAGATATATAATCAGTAACGTAAACAAGGTCACGTAACATGCCGCTGTGTCACTGCTGTCAAATTGCCACGAAACACAGTGAATATTAAATGAAATACGGTCTAGTTGGACGCATAGTAGTAGGGGTTTAAATTTATATGTAATTATGACAAATATTGGCTAATAAAATACTTTTTTCCCAAACATTATACTACTACTATACTATTAGACGCTGCCGCATTGACCCCATGCGCCGTTTTGTCCGCAGCGCGCGATCATTCTCGCGATTTATTTAGCATCTACATTGCTCAATTGATATAAATTTACAAAATCTTATGTCAGTCCCCCCCCCTCCCCCCGTATATGCACACAATGCAGTACCTGGACGGTTACGATCATACGGCGGGATCGTCAGGATAACTTCCCACATAGAATCATGTAAGCAGGGTTGTACATGCTGTCAATCAATACTGTAGTACGTAAAATTGGTTCAAACTATTTAAAATGTTCGCTACACACTAACGGCAATTCTACTTAACTTCAAATGAAAATAAGAAGTGAGGGGATCACTGTAATATAAACACTCTTACCCGTCAAAATGTAGTAACAGTACGAACGAGATGGATGGAGGATACCATATATTGCGAAGTATATGGGAATAAACTCATTCAAAATGGCGACGACAGTTTTTTTACTTTTCCCATCGTAGTCATTCGATGATGTGTCAAACTAAAAACTGATTTAATATTACAATCGCCGTCACCTGTGTTAAATCTGACAGACATGTCATTTCATTGTTGTTGTTCATGCGCCAGCTGTGGGAGTACCACATCCAATGTATTGTGGGGTGGATCGTGAGACGAATGGTATGCTAATTCATGCAAATATCTGTACGGCACTGAAAGGGAGGAGTAGTTAATCATTATACAAAAATTATCGCGCCTTTCGCGGACAATTTTCATAATATCCCCATCACATTCCGTCGTTAAATTATTTCAATTGTGTCATACATCGATTGCATGCACTTATATGGCCCATAGAAACCGTGGATAACCCCATGATGATAGTAATGATGAATTGCAAGGCCAAAAGATAATTTTTTAAAAAACCTAATTTATTCCCTTTACTAACGTAAATGTGGGCGTTTTGAATAATTGGTGACGGGCACGGCTGTTGCTGCCACCGCCAAGGACATACACGGCATACATCGCTACCACGCGTGTCATCGGCTCTTAAGTGTAGCGTCCGGGATATGTGACGTGGACAGAGTGGGTTATTTCGTTCGCTGTCCCTCTCTCTATATGCCACAGACTTGATTTGCTATTTAATTGTAATTCGGTGTACTAATTAGCACATCAGTGTAAGGCCACTGCCGCGACATGCCGCCACTACGTACGTCAGTACCCGAATGACGTATGTAAATACGAAATGCTTCCATTAAGACCATATGCGCCATACATGTAATACCCAGTGCTATTTAGATAGCAATGCTGTAATTTTGTTTTTCTGGTTGCAGTAGTTTAATGTGTGTGCGTACCGAACATACAAATACCTGCCTGTTAACATATTCGAAATGACGACACACACTCGAATAAAAAAGAGATTTTTTAAAAATTACTCGAAACGCAGTACCGCTTGAAATTTCACTTTATGATAAAAATTTCTTTTTTTCATATAATGACATTCTAACAAGGTACTTGTATTCATGGATCGTGTCTAACTCAGCTAGTTCCTGATTTTTAGATTAAACAGATTTAAACACAGTTATCGCAGAATACGGACTTATTTCTATGGAGAGGTTTTGAAAGTGATTTTTAGAATTAGAGATTTTGTTTAAAATAATTCCCAACTAGAAATGATGAATATACTAATTTTATTTATTACGTCATATATCAAGACGGATTGTTCCTCTTCAATCAAACGTGGTACGTGTCATATTACGTGTCAATGTAATGTTTAACGCCGCCTCGTTAAATACATAAGCTATAGATCTCACCTTACCTTTCGAAAGCGTCAAGGAATACATCTTTGGTGGACTCCGTCTAAAAAAACAAGCCCCGTCGAAAGCTACCATGCACACGACAAGGGGGCACGTATACGAAGAACATTTACAGTCCGATGAGCAGGCGTGGGTGTTCAGATGCGAGCATTATTAACCTGCAGGGAGGGAGGGTCGGTTACTGCGACAAAGAAACGCCTGCACAACGAGACACACTGGATGCAATCGTCCACTTTCTGAAAATCATGTTAAACAAGACATAATGAAAGATGTCGTTCCCATCTGAGCAGTCGATAACGAATTCTCAACCAAGAACATCTCCTCTAAGTCAGCTAAGTGAACGATTCCATAAGAATCCATTTGTAATAAACATTACAGCTGACACAGGAGGATTTGCTCCACATAATCGCTTCAACTGCCAGTGCATAGTACTATTATTTTTTCGCTAATCAAACCTTGTTTATATATAGACTGATATTTTTTCTTTAGTAAAGATCATTCTCTCACAAGAAAGACACATTTTATATGTTTGTCTTTAAGTATATAATATAATGTATCTTTGATTTTAAAATATTTATATTTCTTGAAAACTTTCGTATTTCTTTAATGGATGTTATTAGACCAAAGTTATTATGTATTATAAACATATTATTACTATTATATTATTACTACTGTGTTACTAATATTGTTTATGAAACTCCAAATGTGTTTTCAAAATATTTGTTGTCACACAGTGGAGGTGGGTTTTGTCAGTGAGTGTATATTGTTTACAAATTTCGTTAATTTAGAAGGGTCACTTATATTCATATTGTGTAGTTAATGTCTTATTCCCATCCACACTCTCAACAACAAAATGATTGTATACGACAAATTAAACGTTCATTTAATATTTTGTCATAATTTCGAGGTAATAATGCAATTATGTTTGAGAGAAAGTTAGGATGTGGTTTGGATATTACTGAAGAGAAGTATTATTATCATGAGAACATAAACTCCTAAAGGATGTCTTCACAAACTTAGGAAGTACATTTTTACAAAACTTCAAATTTGGAGAACTAAATAATCTATCAATCTAATATTTGGCAATTTCTGATGAAAGCTTCTCTAGATTTGCATATGTAAATTATAGTTCATATCTCTTTATTTCAATTCGCCATGTATTTCTATGGAAAGGATATGAGAAGTTTCTCATGTGTTATTAAATGTTGTTATAAGCCATTTGTAGAATCTTCATATCTTGTGAAATGTATAAACACAATACTTCTGTGTATTCATTTAGCTATTTAGATATAGTGGTACAGTGAATATGTACAATGAACACATTGAATGCATGTACAATTCAAATTTTCGTGACAAGTTGTAATTTATCTTTCGGACCTGTCTCAAATTTGTTGATGAGTCTTATAAAATACTATAAAACGAGAACCCTTATTTTCCTATACACTTTTTTCTTCTTCACAAACTTAAAGAAGTTGATTTTTAAAAACCTCATATTTTTTAGAACTAAATATCATATTCGTCTAATACCTGGCAAGAATGTACTCTGGAGCAGGCGGCACCCCTATTTGTAAAGGCACTCCCCCAATATGCAAATTAAGCCATATGTATTTTCACTAAATATTTGAATATAAGTACATGTTACTGTCGAAGTCGCAAGCAACAGCAAACGACCCACATAATATCGGACACAAACATAATAAACAACGCAATGTTTACAGCAAACATAGTCATGATTTTATTCGAATACTGCCTGTCAAATGTGATGATACATCAATTAACTAAACCGAGGGTTTATATGTGCTTTTTATATGTTTTACAATGCACGACCTCCCTCTTTCACGAGGTCCCTCGGTAAGTCGCGGCCCTCGATAAGTCGCGGTTTTTGCTTGGATTCCGACACCTGCGACTTAGCGAGGGGCCACTGTAATTTCCAATGGCACAGTGTTAGTACAGGACAGTTATTGACCAAATATAGAATCTTAGGAAATCTTAGAAACTGTTTCGCCATATAAACCAGTGAAAACAACAATTTATAGAATGGTCGTGGTAACGGAATTTATATTTGCACAAACATTGCATATGTTTTCTTTTGATAAGTGTGGCGCATCTGTTGTCTAGCGAATTCAATATTTTGCATAGTTATCTTGCAATATCTGTATTTATCCTAATGTTTGCAAAACACGGTAAGTTAAGCGGCCTAAAGCGCGGTAGTCGTCGCGCTGCGCATGTGCGACATTTGTGTTGATAAACCTTGATTTTCCCACAATCCATTGCGCTCTTCTAATGGAAATCATAAGTATGGGGTTTGACCTGGGCGCGACTTGCACTAATTACCGCCGGTGACTCCTTTCATACCTTCCAATCACCTAAAAATACCTAATTAAAGCTTTGTAACGTCCCAGTTTGTACTTGTTGAGTTGCACAACAGTCAAAGTCGCCATCTTTGTTTATATGAGACCGATATCTCGCGCATGCGTGGCGCGACGACTAACGCCCTTTAATATTTATTATTTGTTAACCCTGCCAACAAAATCAGTTTTCTCTCCATTAATTCAGGATATAAACGCCAAGAAAACGGCCACTACTCCAGTAACTACATACATACAAGTCAACAGATAAGCTGCCCTCTGATTGGTCTGATTGTTCGGTGTTATGGTTGGGTGCCAATCAGGCACACTCTTGTAAGTAGCTTTGTGTTGACATCAGACAAGGAGGTGGTTATAAATGACAATTATATATTACCCGTCGAACACCATATTTCCTGACGTCAGTGCACCAGTGTTACATTTCAGATTTCAGGAACATATTTTTTTAATTAAATTTCAAATATTTAGTTTATTCTGTTTTAACGACCTCGTGAACATTAACAAGGTGTGCTTGCATCTCACTTCATCTCGTGTAATTTTCTTAACATACGGAAAACTAAGTTTCGTTTACTTACCTTTCCCAAATGTTGACTCTTCCATACGTAATCTAATGGTGACAACACGGTCATTTGTTAGACAATATATTGTGTTTGCTCTTCATCAAATCTGTGATACCAATACGTAAATATAACCAAATGACAGCTTGAATCTTGTTAAAGTTAAGAATTATATTCAAGTATAGATAAAAATTAATAATGACTCTTGTCTTCCGAAATTTAATTTGTAGACATTTATTTAATGTGGCACATTCATGAAAAAGTATATCGATACATGTATGCAAACATAGTAACACATTCAATAAATATTACCTTATTATGTACCATAGGAACAGTAGTGGCATTAACACATAAGTGTCCACAGCTGTACATTGTATTATAACTTATAGCACAGCTCTTTATTAAATCAATTCATATTAACAGATTCCATGGGCAAATTATGACAAGGCCCGCGCCCAATATATAGCGTGGAGGGCATAAACTGGTAATAAGAAAATAATTCCAACAGATTATAATAAACACACAAATATATTGGTTACATTAATTGATAATTGCCACTTTTATTTTAATTTGGATTTCCGCTGATTCAAATATCTTTAAAGGTCCGATGATTGTGCGCATGCGCATGGAAATAAATCTGTGTTAACTAATGCTTGACCGTATGACATCCCACCTAGCCTGATTGCGCGCAATATTATCAAGTCAACAAATGGTTGGAATTATTAAATTATTTCTATATGGAAAATTGTGAACAATTTTAATGAATGTCTGAACGACTTTAAAACTGAGAGAAATAAGTAAAAAATATTACATAATATTAAATCATAAAATACCGTCGAAATTTGATCATGCGAAACAAATGTGCAAAGTTGGCTGATAGCAAAACAAAATATTTTGAAATATAAGTAAAAAGAAGAAGAATCAAACGACTGGGTTGAACACCTTCTCCAAAATATAACAAACGGTTCACAGAAAGCAGACCAGCGTTTTATTTGTTTGCGTAATTTCCTCTGTCATATAACTGATTCACTTTCCGATCTACAATAAATGCATGACTGAATGGTCCCACAAACTATGGTTCGGAGCTAAGGCGAGTTAAACACATTCCATTCATTGGACAGTACAAGGTTGAGACCCAGGTTTGTGGTAAATTATGCGATCACAACATATACTGCTTATGTTGACGTCAGTGACAATCAACCAATCAAATCAATCATCAGTAGCTGCTGGCCGTAATCATTGGTTTATTGGCACTTAATTTCATTGTTGACAAGTTCCGGCCATAGTCGTAGGACAGTGTAGATATTGTATATATTATGTGATGTTCTAAGAAAATGCCTTGGTACAAATTTACACTCAGTTTTCTTGTGACTGTATGGTTCTTCTAACCATGAACAAAATCAACCCCACTCAAGTATGTCTTACAACCTCTATGTTGCTCTCGGGTTAGAGTGATTTTACCCATTACCGCAATGTTAATAAAGAAAGCAAGGTGTGTCAGTGGTTATTATATCTGTCGTTGTCATCTTTAACAATTTTAACTCAATTCAATGTTGTCCAACCCCTCTCAAACTTGGTTAGTAATTATATTGTACAATCAATATAAAATCTCGACTTCGATTCTGGTGTCTCTCGCACATCATGATGAACTAGTCTACATTCGACAACAAGGGATTGTGTTCGCTATGTGGAGTATGTTGTAGGCGAATAAATAATTCATTGCAAAAGAGTGCACAGTGAAGACAACCCCACGACTATACTACCCGTAGAGTTGTGAACACATCTTCCTAGCCCTTCCTAGGATCTAAATTGTCTCAACCCTTATTAGTATCCTTTGAATATTTACTATACTAATATCTGCTATTTGATCGAGTTTTTTTTTCTCGCATTATGTCTTCAATTATGTTTCAATCACGACAATCCAGACCCAGAGTTTGACTATCATGATTTATAATCTTATTTGATCGTGAATGGCTGTATTTCAACCACAACAAAGATTGCGATTGGTAAATAACAATAACAGTTTCTCAAAAAGGGCCTTCCTACTTCACTTTTGTCGCTGATCTCACCCCATGACGTGTGTACACAAATGATAGAAACTACTATGAAGTTTCATCACTACAGAGAACCGTACGTTTTTGCTCCTGCGGTTTGCAACAATAATAACTCGGAAGTTAGAAATCGGAACTTGGAAGTTAGAAGTAGGAAGGCTCCTTTCGGCTTTCGTACTTTTCTCTCAACGTGACTGTGAGTACAGCGTTTTTTTACCCACGGGGGCGCTGTTTGTGTCAATTTACCGACCGCCAAATTATATGCGAATAATTAACTTAAGAAGTTGAGAATTCGAGAAATGTTTAAAAATTGCTGGAATGGGAAAACTGGCCGTCATAATCAGCGACATCGAGAACAATGAATAAACTTTTCACAACTAGTATATTATATATTTTATGTGTATTTTAACGTGATGTAACCTACATTAACAGCGAACTTCATCTGTGTGTTCATTCTATACGTATTTGTATCCCTATACAACCGTAATGGCGACGAAGAGTGTAAACAAATTATAGCACAAACAAACAAATACATTTTTCCCGACACTTGAAAGAAAGCAAATGAATCACAACTGACAAACGACTAGGGCATTTCGTTTTATTTCCAATAGTTTATGAATACGCATTTAATATAAATACATTCCCGCCAGATGTAAAATTGGTACGCTCGCCTGAAATCCACTGTAAAAAGAGCTAATGGCTGTATAACTTGTGTACGTACTATGAATTCAAGGGACATGCGCACTTGAGTTGTTGACTATTGAACAATGAACTATTGTATTTAGTATCCCTACTTTTCTGGCAAAAAGAAGAAAAAATTAAAAAACTAAAGGTTAGTACATAAACAAAAATGATAATTAATAAGTTATCTCTAGTGCATAACATTGTTGACTTTTATAGCACATAGTATGGTTATACAGTATGGTTAAGATTCATGAGTTGTTACAAAGAGTAGCGGTTTCCGCAGGACAACGGACTCTCAAACCTATAAATACTAGCCTGGTTACCATCCTATTATTTTGTGAATCCTTCATCCCACATCATACTAGTCTGAAATCATTGCCTCGATTTCTCTCATTAACCACCATGTAAATTTATTCTAATGTCACAAAGAAAAGAATAGTCATACTTTCATGTCTATGGCAACTATCAGTTTATACAGCACGCGCTGGGAAACATACAACTATCAGTTTATACAGCACGCGCTGGGAAACATGCAACTATCATCCAATCAGCGTCAGTGACCGGGCTCTATAAATACAGACTGAATAATAGTATCATTCATTAACTGTGAAATACCATTCAGGGTTTGTCGGTATCCGATCGTATCAACAATTTGATTGGCCCCTGCATGCAGTGACTTTACAAAGACCCCTTAGCTTAGCTTGTTTGGTGACTTCAAATGACGTTACATTTCGTGAATAATCGTTTGAAATAATCTGAAGTACGAGTAATTCTAAAGGTTGAGACATCTACTAAACGGCCGCCACTAAACCACGATCTGCTATTTACAATTTACAATATTGTAATCATCTCAAGTTAAATTGCAATTCTATATATGGTTGCTCTTTATTTGAGTTTAATTGAATTAAATTCAAGTTAGTAAAAAATAACATCATACAAATTGTAACTTACTGTAAAGGGGTTAATTATTCACTGGGTTTTAATTTAGCTTATTTAGCTGACTGGAAAATGCGCTTAATTAAAACCCAGTGAATATGTAAAATTTAGCATAGAACACATTATCTAAATGACGAAACCGTGAATTTAAAACCCACTGAATATGACTGAAATGGTAAATCAGTGAAATTTAAACCCAGTGAAAATTAGTCATTTTACAGTATAATGGTTTGCCCAACTTGGGTACTTGTACAGGTTAACATGTGTCTTCATCACTGATTATGTACGTGTACTGAATCCCACCAATTGAAACAGGAATGTGTACATAGCTACCAAATACATGCAGCTGTAAAAATAGTGATGCGCATCTACATCTACATGCAACCGATAACAAACCAATCATGTATTTCTTGTGTAAAATTATAATAATAAATAACTTGTAACCTACAGTATTTTACGACCATTTAACAGCTACTAAACCTACAATGTTAATCACTTGACAACGGTTAATATTTACAACACTTTTATTCAATAATGAGAAGAAGCAAACTTCTTGAAAATACCACGTGTTTGTCTATTCTGCCTTAAATAATGTGACTACTATTATAGCATTTTCCGTCACCGAAGGGTATGGAAATTGTCTAAAGATACTATAAAGTTGTCCAAATATGTCTGCTATAGTTCAAATTCATAGACTCGTGTACTCATTGTATAAACTTAGTACGAGTAATACAGAAGACTAGTGGTCACATATATAAAATGCCTGTTCTCCAGTTGTTTGTGATAGCTAGTAACTTAAGGCGAAAATGAATTGTGTTTTCAGTCCTGAAATACAAAAAAGAATGGTGAGATGAGCGCCTTCTTGTTTTGGAGGGAGATCGTTTATTTTTGGAATATTTTGACAGCAACCAAAAAATTCATGAGTTGCCCCATTTGTGCTCAATCACGCGCTGACCGGAAACACAATGTATTGTTGGGACTATCTAATAACACGCAAGTTATATTTGCCTCAATTGTGACGTTTCTATATATATAGAAGGTATACCACGTGCCACACACAAAGCAGACAAACACGTCCTATTTATCTCAAAAAACGAAAAATAATTGCTTGTGTGACGAAATCAACTAATAATTAAATTCTTTGATACATTTCAAAAATAAAACATAATTAAATCAAATATTAACAATCAAATAACATAGTAATTCTTTATCAGAAGAGGAAATCAAATTACTGTAAAATAGCTGCTGGTATCATCGACTCCCCGCATTTCGATAAAGTATATTCTTAAATTACGATTGTTGGCACTTAAATTAAGATTCTTCTAATCATATTTAGGGAAAATTTTATATATAGATAATTAACGTCTAATGACAAACATATACAGTGTATATAGTAGGGAAAGCAGTATGACATTAAATATGCATTTACATATCACTTATAACTATGGAGTCAATGACACAATTTATCACCATTGATATATAGTTGAAACCCAATTATAATGTGAACGTGAATCAGGATGTGCTTACTCACTTCACGTTTCGCCCACACTTGTTCATAAAATATATCATATTATATTGTCAATACATCATATTGGTGTGGCATTTGTGAATTGTTTTATTACGAATACATGTGATATATATTTATATCTACCTGAACAGAAGTATCCCCTGATTGTTTTTATTGCTCTATTGTCTATTGATTTTTTTTGCAATATGTTTTTTTAAAGAAACAACAATAACTTGGTCGTATTTTTACATCCATGTGACAACACACTAAGTAAAGAGTTGGGATATTCATGCTATACATATGTAAACAGCACATAGACAGCTGGAAAATGAATTGTTGGTCAATCAAGAATTAATTTTCGAGCTATATGCATGCTATTATTATAAACACAAGAAATGATAGGTGACATATCAACGTGTATTTAATCATTTTCGTGCCACAAAAACAATTTTGGCTCAGTAATGTGGATTACAAAACATTGAAAAGTTGTGAAAATCGCTTGACCTTTTAAGTGGCGATTCTCTGTGTATGAGAATTAAAATTGCCTGTCTGGGTACATCAATTCCAAGTATTTCTTAGTCATGGCTACTCTTTTCTTGATAAAAGTGTACAGTACATAATCAGGTGCTAATCGTTCTCTCATGATTTCTTTCATTTCTTCGGAGGCTTCCTCTTTATATGCCGTTTTGAAAGCATCTACATGCCCTCGTGACTGAACAAGTTTATAACTATCGGAGGCACCGGTGAAAAACTGTGGCATGATAAATTCTAGTATATATAGCGTAGTTGGAAAGTCCTCAATAGTGCCTACAAAAACGTAGTTTTCTATTATGTTACGAAGCGCAGTTTCGAGAGCCCATCTAGTCGGTTTCATGCATTCTTCCGAGTGGCCACAGAAGAAAGGAACCATTCTGTTTGGACCAATTGAACTACACTCTGACATCTCTTTCAGTACACAGTCCTCGAAAGTGTTATTCAGTGATGGATCTAACTCTTTCTTGTCTATCATGTCACCATAACGTTTGTAATAGAAAAAAGACATGACGCGTTCCAATGGGTCGCGAACGAGGTTGATATAGGGCACCCTAGAATGGCCAAATTTGGTGAAATCAAGAAAATTGACATGGCGATCATAAATAAAGGGTGCTTCCAACTCGCTTATTTCTTTTACAACTTGCATCTGTTGTTCGTCTGAAAAACGTTTTTGGTGGAAGTCCATACTTTTTATGTGGTTAAACCTGTTCCACCTTGATAGGATATCGTTCACATATTGCAGACTTCGACTTCCACATTTTCCAACTCTGTTATAAATCAATCGAGTGATGTTGAACGTGAAATTGAGGTTGGTTGGCAGGCCAACCTCGACTCGCAATGGTGTCTTTGGCCCCAGTTGCCTCTCAGAGAAATTTCGAGCTTCTGTCTGAAAGCTCTCATCGTAGTTCAAGTCATGTGACATATACTCAGATTCTTTGGCGGCAAGAAACAATAGTCCAGTGGCCGCCGTTAACGTCATCCATGTCACAACTTTCCTCGGCGATAGACACATTCGAAGAATTCCCATTTTCGGTTTCAGATTCCGTTCAGGTGTTGGACACATTTACAACATCCGTGGTACTAACGAATAAAACAAACATCATGGTGAGTTATAATTATAATAAGTAAATTATATGTGTGTACACATCGTGTGAATAAATCCGTCAACCATTAATTTTAGTTACGTCATTATCATTGTATGAATAATAATAATAATAATAATAACTTTATTGCACCCTTAGAAATACAATGTTTCTATCAGTTAATAGCAATAAAGATTAGTTGTGATAACTACTACTACAAAAAGGAAGTTAGTTGTTAAAAAAGATAAAGCAAGTGTTACATATCAAATGGCATTTTTATTTCTTGATTGAAATGCATTATGAATATAGTTGCCAATCTTTTTTATTATTACATCATCTTTTGAAGTCATCAAGAAATTAAATTTCTGGAGATCATCCTGGGTTTCTTGTGGAAATATAATGTCTTGTATGATTTGTTGGCGTATTACTTTATATTGTGGACATTTCATAACAACGTGCAGTTCATCTTCTATTTCATTCTGTGAACATTGTTTGTAAATTCTATTTTCAATAAGTATTTTTGGTTGCATATGTCTCCCTTTTTCTATTGCTAAATTGTGATTACTAGTTCGAAATTTTGTCATTGAAATTCTTTGTTTCAAATTTATGTATTTTTGTTTGACAACTTTGCCAATTTGCTGTATATGTTTTGTTAACCAATCATTCTGTTGTTCTCGTGAAAAGTTCATGTTGTTCATCATTTTTTGTATTGAAGAGTACCATTGTAAATTGGATTTCTTTTGTTCAAGGTATGCTTGTTTTGTGATATTATTGTCTGGTAATTTACTGATACGAGTCCAGTATTTTATTAAATTGATCTGAATATCTACTAAGTGTGGGAATTCTTCTACTTCGGCTCTGCATGCAATGTTTGCCACAAATTTGTTCAGTCCTAGTAGTTGTTTGTAAAAATTCAATTGTGTTTTTTCTGTTATTGTTTTGT